TCAAGAACAAAATCTCATCTGCATGCCTAATCTGAAAATAGAGTTCCCAGCAATTCAGGATCACTATTACCTTATTTAGAATCAAAATGTCCTTATTCTACAAGAAATCTCTGCAGTTATCTAGTTTAAGCTCTCAGTTTTACTAATGTGGAAACAGAGGCCCAGAGAAATCACATGAGCAGCCCACTTACTGGCAGACCTGCGGCTAGAACATGGGTTCCTGCTTTCCTGTCCAGGGCTCTCCGGTAGCCCCTGCTGCCTCTGCACAGCAGTTCGGTGCTGACAGGTTTCTTGGTTACCTGTGTGGTAACCACCCCTGGCTCCCGTAACCTTTGTAAGTCAGTAAGAGAATAGACGAGCTGCCACTATGAGGCATCTCCAGGACTATCCTCACCCCAGAACCTGTCATTATAAACTCCTGCATTTTCTAGTTTCTCATTCCCCACAGAGCTGAATACAGCCAGGCAGACAAGGTGAAGGCACATCAGGCACTGTCCCAGGCACTGTGAGGGATGTTTTTGTTGCTTTTGCTTGCCCAACATTCCTTACTCCCTATTCCCAGACAGGGCACTGCCGTTTCCAAGGTTCTGGTGGGGGCTACATAGTATCCAAGCCACCTATTAACCACAGATTGAGGTGGACATAGACCTGACCAATGAAAGAAACATCCCTCTGGCCATAATTACCACTACAAGAGAGAGCTGAGAATCAAGCAGAAACTAGATTTCCTTCCTGGGCTTTACAGATAAGAGCCAGAGAAAGAAGCTCTATGCCTGGATTTTCCAGTTATATGAGCTAAGGCATTTCCACTTTGTTCAGGTGAGTTTACATTAGGTTACTATTAATTGCAATCAAAAGAACTCAGACTCATGTAGGCATCTGCATACCTTTTCTTATTTCATCTAACAACTTTATAAGGTTGCCATTACTCACTCTATTTTAGACATAAGGAAACTGAATTAAGTGGCTTCCCCAAGTTCATATAGCAGATAAGACACATTCAAATCCAAGTCCTCCTGCCCCACGTTCCATTCAGTATTCAGTATTCAGAATTAACTCAAGAAGAAGAAACTCACTGCCATTCAGAAGCCAAAGAAATTCTGGTTTAAAAATTATAGGAGGATGTAGGGGACACGGGGACAGCAGCATTAAACCAGGTCAAAGGACCTGGCTTCTAGTTCTGGCTCTGTCCTATGACCTCAACTGCTATGACTTAGGGCAAGTAATTTCATTTACTTAGATGTTAGTTTTCTTATCTATTGACAAAATGAACTCGAGGTCCTTTTGAGTGAAAAAAAAAAACCATACACACAAACAAACCAACATGGGTCTGCTTTAAGCATACAGATTCTACTGTTACCATATGCCAAGTAGATTTCAACTTGAATGGCAAGCCTAATAACAGGTAATGGCTCCTGGGGGACAATGTTGCAAAGAATTCTGAGCTCTAGGGATCCACGAAGTTATGAGCATTGGCTTCCATGATCACAAGGAAGAAAAGAAAGTAACAGCTGCCTACCTGCCACACATCTGCCATCACTGAAAGAGTTTCACCTTGGCAAAGAAATGCTACCGTCTTTTACAAATGCAGACAGTACTTCTGCACCATCACTGATTCATCAGTACCTACCCAGGATTTTCACTCATTCCTCATGCATTTAACTTGGCTCCCCTTTATAAGCAAGGAATGAAAGTGCAAGAAAACTAAGTGGTTTGGAAAATATAGCTTGGTGCCACTAAAGAAAATATGTCTAAATGGCCTACATGAGGAGGGGGGAGGTATTTGAGGGGAACAATAATAATTAGTCTGGTTTCTTAAAATATATACATATAGACTACGTGAGTAGGGTAACTCACAAGCTACCCTACTTAGCTTGTGAGTTAGGTAGGGTATTATCATGTCCATTTTATAGAAATGGAAAACGAGAGTCAGACTTGCCCAAGTTCACCCATTTCTAAGTAAGAGAAGCCAGATTTGAACCCAAGGCCCAGGTCTCTTTCCAATCCCACCGTCCTCATTAGTCCCACACTTCAAATGAGTTAACTAATCAAATTCCCATTGCAGAGTGACATATTCATTATTATTTGGAGTTGTTCGAATAATATAAGTTCCTCCCCCAGATAATCTGAAAAGTCATTACTCTCCATTTGTAATTTAATGGGTAGACATGCATTTGAGTACATATAAATTTAGCGAAATTGAACATAAAAGTTAAATGTTTAAAAGAATGATGCAGAAGAAATCAGTCTATTGGTGGGAGGTAGGGAAGGAAGATTTAGTTTCAATGCAATTTTATGAAACTTAATATAACCTTTACAACAATTCAGTGAGATGGAAATCTGGCATCAGGCATGTATTAGAGGAATGGAATGGAAGAACAGAAATTGAACCAGATTAAAACGCATCCTAGAAGTAACAGCAAATGCTTCAAGGAAGGCACTTACCAAAAGGCATACTATAACTTATTACATTTCATTAAGTCTGACAACCAGGGCTAAACCTGAATTAGAATATGTGCTTCTGGTATTGACCAGACTTTTCTGTATAAGGAATCCAGGCCAAACAAAATAACAGGCAAACTTTTGACACATCTAATCATAGTGAAAGCACAGGACATCCATCACTAGCTCTTCTAGTTAAAATTCCCACAAGAGAAGATGGGGAGTGGGGAATGGTTGGAAGAACAGGAGATAATACGCAAAGCAATGACAACACAAAATCAAAATTGCTTACAAGAATGTATGTTTCCTCTACGTCAGGGGGACAGTGTCCCTGAACAACACAGCCCATGTACTCACTTAAGGTAATGTGACACCTACTCACATCAATACATAGCAGAATTGGAAGTTTCACTGTCATGCGGTCCAAACCTATGACATATGCACAAAGTTCTTCTCAAACATCTCTGAAAAGCAGTCATCACTCTGTTTAATTACTTCCAGTGACAGGGAACTCAGCACCCTACAGGACTGTTACTGTCCCTGAGGCCCATTAACTCAAAAGTCTAAAACACATTTTCACCACTCAGGGAGCGGTGGAAGTGATCACAGGGCTATCCAAAGGGCTTGCCAACTCAACTGTGCCTCTTGTCTCGACCATTCCCAAATCCCCCCTTTCCCTGAGCAGGACTCAAAATTAGCACAGTGTTCATAAATCAGTGGTTTCAGAGTCAGAAGGGACCCTTACAACGCCAATACTGTGATATTCATACCACGGTTCTACAAAAGGAACCCCAGGAAGTGCTTAGGCCAAACTGGGAGGGAGAGTGTCCTGTTTCTCTTCCTCTCATTTCAGCCTAGGAAGCTTCCACTTTAATTTGTTATATATAGAGGACCAAGGTAGTTTTTTAAAAGGAGGAGGAGAAAAAAAAGGACCATTTACAGGTAAATAAACTGAGGTCTTGACACTTGCTTAATGAAATCATATAGCTAACAGTTGCAGGGTTCAGACAACAACCTGGTCTCCTGGCTCCTTCTCTGGTACTTTCTCTACCATATAACATCTGACGGCCTAGAGGGCAAAATTCAAACTCCGCAGTGATATACAAAGCCCTTTAAGATCTCTCCCGGTCCAATTTTTATGAGAGTCCCACATACCAGTCTCACTCAAATGTTTATTGAACCAACTTATATCAGACTCTTACACACCTCCACATCTTAGCGCATACTATTCTTTTAGCCTGAGATGCCCTTCTGCACTGGAGCCAACTAATCCTCTTTCAAGATTTGTTTTGGGCATCATCACCTCTATAAAGCCTTTTCTGATCCTCAGGTAGAACTGACCACATTCTTCTTTGTGCCCTACATAACACTTGCAAGGCTTTATGGCACTTGTTTTATGTCTATGTCCGTCTACTCCACTACTCCTTTTACATCATATTACTCTAACATGAGGCTGGTCAGAAAGTAGGTGCTTCATAGATGTTCATCAATAGGGAGAGTGTATTCATCTGGTCCAACCCCTTTCTGATGTTTAAGTATCCTCTGCTAACTGTCATTAATGCATGCATGCATACATTCATTCGAAAATATCTGAGTGTCTATGCAGTGCCAAGTGTATGCCAAGCAGAGTAGGATTTACTGTGAAATTAATGAGGTTTTAGCTTCGGGGTCCCTCACTTCCATCTTCCAAAGCTCTGAATCTCTCTTGGTGATTTTTATTTCTTAAAGACGGCAGACATAACTATAAAAACTTTCGGCCCCACAAAACCTAGATCCCTCCTTGGTGTCACGGACACAAAAGGGAACAAGACAAACATCTCTCCCCTCATGGAATTTTCTGTTTAACGGGAAAGACAGCCATTTTGTTCATTCATTCATTCAACAAACATTTACTAAGCAATGCTATGAGTCATGCATTGTGAGATGAAAACAACTGTCCCTGCCCTTAAGGAAAAGGTTCCTGTTCCCAGACAGATGAAGGGACACCTGCTCTGATCAGGGAACAGAAAGTAGTTGAGATGACTGTAACACCGTGTTTGCGAAAGATGACCCTAAACTCGTCTCAAGAGGAACTGAGCCCTACTTATCGCGGAGACAAAGGGAAGAAAGAGTTCGGATGAATATGGTTTTTAATCTCATCTGGGGATGGGAGGCAGACAAGTAAAGAGCACAGGCAAATACGGTGTGGTCAGTTCTGCAACAGGAAGTGAAGGACAGTGAGGTTTCCCCTGAGTGCAAGTCTGTAGTGACGGCGAACTCATGACCTCACAAAGCCGCCCGTGCACTTTCCAGATAGAGATTTCTGAGGGTCTCCTTCCTCGTCCCCCAACCCCCGCCGCCGCAGGAGAAATCTGTTCCCCAATATGCGTCCCCCTTCCTTAAAATAAGGCTGTTCCTTCCCCAAAAAGCTGTCCGGTCTCTGAGGCCAACTCTCCTGTCCCCCTTGGGGCCACCTCCTTCACACAATGCTTATGGGACGGGGTGTGGTTTGGGGCTCGGGGTCCCTGTCGCAGGACTGCCCCCTCCTCAACCCGCCGTTTCCATAGCAACCAGCTCACCACTTCGCGGGCCCGGCTGGAGAAGTCGCCCTTGGGCCGGGGGCTCCGGCGGAACAGCTCATCCCGGCTTCCATCGACCCCGCCGCCCACCGCCACTCCCAGCGCCTTGTTCCGCGTCTTCACGGTCTTGACGCTGGCCCGGAATAGCAGCGTGATGTCCACGGCCATAGCGACCCGTACCCGCAGCCCCACACTGGGCCGGCTCACGTAAGCAGCCGGCGACCGCGGCGAGAACCCGGCCGCTGGAGGACTGGTCCTGCCCCGCACTCCTCCCCACCGGCAACTGCGATGCGAGAAGAAAGGTTCCGGCCTGAGCCCCGCTACCGCGGCGGGAGGAAAAAGATTCCGAACTCAGCGGCGCACCTGGCGGAGGAGGAACCCCGCGACGAGCTCACGGGCACCTCTTTCTCCCGGCAAAGCTTGGAGGGTTTAGCAGCGCGGAGAGCTCAGCGAGCTCTCCTGTGCTTTTTTGGAGCGTGTGGGCTCCGGGAGCGTGAGGACCGGGAAGCTGGGAGGCTCCTTCCCTTCTGGTGGCTCCCTCACTGAGAGCGGGCGGTTTGGTTGCGGGGGACGTGGAGGCGAGCCACCCTTGACCTTTGACTGCAAGGACTCACCTTGAGCAGGACAGAGGCACTTGGACGGTGACCCTCGGGGTGCAATAAGTGCTGAGACAGAGCAGATGTGCAAGGCATAGAGCTAGAGGCCAGAGGTCTTTCTTCTCCACCCTTCAGTCACCTCTTTGTAAAGTGAAGCCAGCATCCTCCTCGGAGTTTACTGTGAAAATTAAGTGAGCTGACGCGTGCTGTGTTTTGATGTTGCTTGGCTCCTAGTAAGTGGCCAATAAATGGTAGTAATCGTTAATAATATTATTATAATCACTCGTATTTGTGGTGATGGAAGAGGCTGTAGAGAAAAGGCGTCACCTGTGCAGAGATTTGAAGGATGAATAGGAACTTTAGATGGAGGCAAAGGTGAAAGAGTGGCCCTAATGTCGCTGGATTCTGTTCTTCCTTAATGCATAGTTTTTAATTGTACCGTCTTGAGCCATAGCTATTAAAATTGACAAGCCAGTCAATGAGTTTCTTCTGCATTTTTGGTTCATGGTTCTGTTTTGTGTTGTTTTTTGAGATGGGGGTCTGCTATGTTGCCCAGGCTGGATTGCAGTGGCTATTCAGAGGCGCCATCCTAGCTCATTACAGACTGGAACGCCAGGGCACAAACGATCCTCCCCGGCTCCGCCTCCTGAGTAGCTGGAACTGTAGGCACTTGCCACCATGGCTGGCCTAAGGATATTCAAAATCTCATTGATTTCTTCAAGATTTTTTTTTTCCATAAAGAGGATGCACAAGTAGAATGTGTATTAAAATAGTGGTTTTAATGGTCAATATAAAAATATTTTCATAATACTAAGATGTTATTTGCCTTTTCACTCTCACTTTCTCATGAGTTGCATACAGTTGAGTTTGCTAGACTGTGATATTGCAACGGAATAAATGCAGAACAGCTGTTTTCTATTAAGCCAGACTTCAAAAAAAAGATTTTCAAAAACATCAAAAGTTTTTAATTTCTCATATAGTGAATGTCGATAATGTCAATATAAACAAAAATTGTTTAGAGCCCTTAATAATTTTTAAGTGTGCCAAAGAGTTGAGACCAAAAGTTTGAGAACACTGTGTTAAAGAAATAAAGTTTATCAGAAATAGATGTCAAGAAAGTGTATATTTACCAGCAAGGAGGAAGGAAAAGTTTTTTTTTTTTTTTAGACGGAGTCTTACTCTGTCCCCCAGGCTGGGGTGCAGTGGCACGATCTCGGCTCACTGCAAGCTCCGCCTCCCGGGTTCACCATTCTTCTGCCTCAGCCTTCCCAGTAGCTGGGACTACAGGCGCCCGCCACCACGCCCAGCTATTTTTTTTGTATTTTTAGTAGAGATGGAGTTTCACCGTGTTAGCCAGGATGGTCTCCATCTGCTGACCTTGTGATCCTCCCGCCTCTGCCTCCCAAAGTGCTGGGATTACAGGCGTGAGCCACCTCACCTAGCCAGGAAAAGATTATTTAAACCCAAACTGTAGCCACTTCTTGCAGTTTAAGGAAAATGAATTTCCATACAGCTTTCTTCCACCTACTGCGGAAAAGAGAAAGAAATTACAAAACCTCTGCCAATGATTCTATCTTGCATAAATGGCCCTTTGTTTAATCCAGACATTAATCAGTTTTTGGCTATGCAAAGTTAAGCTTGGGGCAGAGTAGAAGGAAAGAGAGATTGCCCTGCATAGTAAAGTGAGGGGGATTGAATTGAGGGGAGAAAAAGAAAAGCCAGAACCCAGGGAGGGGGCCAGGAAAGTACAAAGTAGGTAACTGGGAAGGATCTTTGAGTGGGAGGGAGGCTGAACTACATCAAGCCTTCAGTGAGTGGTGCCTTGTGTGAACAGCGTGTTTGTTGCAGTTGGATATTTTGGGTAGAAGGGTAGGGACAAAAATCTAAGTTTTCTGTCTGGATTTGCAAGAGCAGAGAAGATTGTGGTGGATATAAGACCCAAGTTGAGCTCAAAACATCAGGTTGTAAATCCACAAGTGACCAGAGGGCATAAAATTCCTAGATAAGTCACAAAGATCTTGAGGTGGCTGCTGAACTTTCCACAGACCGTGGGATATGGGGTTGTGCTTTTTAAATTTTGTGTTTATTCTTTAATTTCAAAGAGCAAAATGACTTCAGTTGACAGTTGACTAATAACTATATTAAGCCCCATAAAGCTGAGAGGGGATGTGGATTAAAAGGATGAGCAGAAATATAAGAGTATACTACTGCATCTCCAGGGTTCAAATGATCCTCCCGGCTCAGCCTCCTGAGTGTCTGGGACTATAGATGCATGCCACCATGCCTGGCCTGTTGGGCATAGTACTCAACTGCCCAGTTGGATGTAGTACACAAATTATGTTTTCTTTATGCATTCAGCAAACATTCATTGGGCCAGACACTGTTCTGAAAAATACACAGTCGACTCTTGAACAACACAGGCTTGAACTGCATGCGACCACTAATACTCAGACTTTCTTCTGCCTTTGCAACCCCTAAGACAGCAAGACCAACCCCTCCTGCTCCTCAGCCTACTCGATGTGATGATGGTGAGGATGAAGACCTTTACTTTCTGATGATTCACTTCTATTTAATGGATAGTAAATTTATTTTCCCTTCTGATTATTTTCTTAATACCATTTTCTCTAGCTTACTTTATCGATAGGATACAATATCTAATACATATGACATACAAAATATGTGTTAAGTGACTGTTGATGTTATTGATAAGGATTCTGGTCAACAGTAGGCTATTATTAGTTAAGATGTTAGGGAGTCAGAAGTTATACACGAATTTCCAACTGTGAAGGGTGGAGGAGTCATCAAGGATCAACTGTATTGGCATCCCTAAATATTGCTCCCTACAGCAGAAACTCCTATACAAGGAGACTAGATGTAGGCTGCCAGTGAAAACCAACGTCTCATTTCTGGGCAGCGAATTTAGGAGCTAATGTATGATTCACCATGCTCTCTTTTCCCTCTGCTGTGACAACCCCTAATGTTCCAATGTTCCATCAGCTTGAGTCGTTAAGTAAATATGACATGGAGCATAGCCAACCAAGGACATTGTATTGGTCAGAGTTCTCTAGAGGGACAGAACAAATAGGATAGATGTATATATAAAGGGGAGCTTATTAAGGAGTATTGACTCACACGGTCACAAGGTGAGGTCCCACAATAGGCCATCTGAAACATGCGGTGTTTGGTTTTCTGTCCTTCTGATAGTTTGCTGAGAATGATGGTTTCCAGCTTTATGCATGTCCCTACAAAGGACATGAACTCATCCTTTTTTACGGCTGCATAGTATTCCATGGTGTGTATGTGCCACATTTTCTTAATCCAGTCTATCATTGATGGGCATTTGGGTTGGCTCCAAGTCTTTGCTATTGTAAATAGTGCCACAATAAACTTACGTGTGCATGTGTCTTTATAGCAGCATGATTTACAATCCTTTGGGTGTACACCCAGTAATGGGATGGCTGGATCAAATGTTATTTCTAGTTCTAGATCCTTGAGGAATCACCACACTGTCTTCCACAATGGTTGAACTGGTTTACACTCCCAAAAACAGTGTAAAGGTGTTCTTATTTCTCCACATCCTCTCCAGCACCTGTTGTTTCCTGACTATTTAATGATCGCCATTTTAACTGGTGTGAGATGGTATCTCATTGTGGTTTTGATTTGCATTTCTCTGATGGCCAGTGATGATGAGCGTTTTTTCGTGTGTCTGTTGCCTGCATAAATGTCTTCTTTTGAGAAGTGTCTGTTCATGTCCTTTGCCCACTTTTTGATGGGGTTGTTTGATTTTTTTCTTGTAAATTTGTTTAAGTTCTTTGTAGATTCTGGATATTATCCGTTTGTCAGATGGGTAGATTGCAAAAATTTTCTACCATTCTGTAGGTTTCCTGTTCACTCTGATGAAACTACCATCTTTTGCTGTGCAGCTCTTTAGTTTAATTAGATCCCATCTGTCAATTTTGGCTTTTGTTGCCATTGCTTTTAGTGTTTTAGACATGAAGTCCTTGCCCATGCCTATGTCCTGAATGATATTGCCTAGGTTTTCTTCTAGGGTTTTTATGATTTTAGGTCTAACATTTAAGTCTTTACCACCTTGAATTAATTTTTATATAAGGTGTAAGGAAGGGATCCAGTTTCAGCTTTCTACATATGCCTAGCCAGTTTTCCCAGCACCATTTATTACATAGGGAATCCTTTCCGCATTTCTTGTTTTTGTCAGGTTTGTCAAAATCAGATGGTTGTAAATGTTTGGTATTATTTCTGAGGGCTCTGTTCTGTTCCACTGGTCAATATCTCTGTTTTGGTACCAGTACCATGCTGTTTTGGTTACTGTAGCCTTGTAGTATAGTTTGAAGTCAGGTAGCGTGATGCCTCCAACTTTGTTCTTTTGGCTTAGGACTGTCTTGGCAGTGCAGGCTCTTTTTTTGGTTCCACATGAACTTTAAAGTAGTTTTTTCCAATTCTGTGGAGAAAGTCATTGGTAACTTGATGGGGATGGCATTGAATCTATAAATTACTTTGGGCAGTATGGCCATTTTCACAATATTGATTATTCCTATCCATGAGCATGGAATGTTCTTCCATTTGTTTGGCATTGACACTCAATATTAACCATCACAGACATGTACTAAGATTGAGAATTGTCCACAGATTTGTGGGTGTTTGTTAACTGCAGCAGCATTAGCCTGTCCTGACTGATG